AGTTAGGCTTATGGGCCTCACACAAGCCCATTAAGCCCAATAAATTTGCCTGTTTGCAAGTTGGGAATGGGTTGGGCTTCTTTAATAGTTAGGCTTATGGGCCTCACACAAGCCCAATAAATTTGCCTGTTTGCACGTTGGGAATGGGTTGGGCTTCTCTAATAGTTAGGCTTATGGGCCTCACACAAGCCCAATAAGCCCAATAAATTTGCCTGTTTGCAAGTTGGGAATGGGTTGGGCTTGTGGATGTCCTGAGCCCATTTTTATGGAATTCTTTGTGGCTTAAGATTTAATAATCGATAAAAATAAAATGACAAAATTGGGTAAAGCTAAAGGTGAATATTACAGTTTGTACCCTTCTTTCTCGTCAGTTCCCATCCGTGAAAACTCCCCAATTTCACTGATCAGAGGAATTTCTTGCACGGTAGCTTCAAATTTTGGGAATTTGCAAAACCCTAGCTTCATCCATTGGGATTTTAACACATCCTTGTTCCAGTTGGAGGCTACAATCTCAAAATTTGTGTAAATGAGTTCGGCAAAAAAGCATTACAAGGATAAATTTGCTCGTCACAAGTATAGCTTCAGTATCTGTAATTTCTGATCTTTTATTTGATTCTTCCATGCTATAGTTTCTTCTGGCCGAGTTTTTGTTAGAAATTTTTGGGAAATGGTATTAATATGCCTAATTCGATGCATAATGTAACAGGGAGGAGAAAACTGAAGAACCAGAAACGCCAAAATACAGAGATCGAGCTAAAGAACGAAGAGAAGATCAGAATCCTGATTATGAATCCAGCGAGCTGGGTTTTCATGCGGTTGCCCCTCCTGGGACTGTCGACATTCGGTTAGACCTGCTTCCTCCGTTTTCTCAATGCAATTTTCTTCTGTAATTTGCATGTTAAATATTTTCTTCTTACTTTCTATGCTCAGTGTTACTTCATTTTTTCCAGGGCGGCTGATGCACACAAGTTATCCATTGAGAAGAGCAAGTACCTTGGAGGTTCGTTCCGGTAGAATGAGGTTTTTCAGTTTGTGTTTTCTAACTTTGTAAAATTAGGAACTGTTCTTCCTTTGCATCCAATTCAGAATCGGGTGGATATATTTAAATTTGGGGTGGCGGTGGGGGGTGACTAATCAATAGTGTGTTCTACAAGTACAACACGCCCTTTCCCTTCTTGCTGGTCCATTAGCGATTGGAATGTGGCCTTTCAGAGGAGTTCTTAATCATTAATTATGCATTTGGAGTTGCTCGTACCTTGGTAATATTTATAGCTTTTTGGTTGAAGTCTAAACCAGGGGATATTCCCAAGCCATTATTATTGTTTTTACTTTATGTTGTATTATTTTTTTGAGCTGCTTTGATGCAGGGGACGTTGAGCATACCCACTTGGTGAAAGGTTTGGATTATGCCTTGCTCAATAAAGTAAGAAGTGAGATTGACAAGAAGCCAGATTCTGGGGGTGATGCTGAAGGGAAAGCTAGGTATCTGATTGCCACCGCCACCACCCATTGATCTCGATTGTTCATTTTTTCGAATACAGTTAAAGAACTTGATAATACTCGTCTTAGAATCTCTGTTCTTTTTGTGATTACTTCTCTATTTCATCTAATCCTCGCCTAATTTAGTTAAATATTTAGAAGATTAGGAGTTGATAACTTAATGATTTATGTGAGATAAGTGTGGCATTGTTCAAACTATCCATTCTGTTTGGACTATGATGTTTTTTTCAGCATTCTCTTTTCTTTTATTGTAATGACCATTGATAATGATTTTCTGAATGCTGATATTGCAGTACACCCAAGGAAGATCAACAAGTGTTGTTTCGCACTGCAACAGCAAAGGTGTATTTTAATTCTCTAAATATTAAAATTCTGTTAAATAGTGTTTCTGTTTCTTTGAAGATTTTGGTCATGCTTCCGTGAGCTGTTTGTGCTAACGATCTGTGGCCATTCTTCTGTATTTCAGTCAGTATACAAATGGATCGTCAAGCCCCAGACAGTTATTAAGTCAAATGAGACATTCCTTCCTGGTAGAACATCATTTATTTTTAACATGGTAATCAATGTTTTCCTTTTATCCTAGTTAGTTTGAATAAAGCTGTCTGAAGACATATCATAGCCCTCCCTCCATTTCAGCTGGGGGCTCATTTCAAAAGTAACAGGGTTTTCTTTGGAACTTTACCCACATTATTGTTTGTTGATCTGTGGTTAGTATGTGCTCAGAGGCTTTCTTCAATTTTTACATGCATGAGATCATTTGGATGGAATTGGTGCACATAGGTAAATTTGGACGAAGTTGAAGATCCAGTAATGTAATTTCAGATTGCACGAACAAGAGCGTAATTGCATTCAACAGAATGATTTTAAAAAAAATTATCTTATCAGTAAAATTGAAAAACAAAACTTCATCTTTGTTAACTTGCACCACCGTGTTATGTGGATGTGTAATGAAGTACTAGAATTTAGAAATATTTAGTAGTGATCTTGAATGTCTGGAAGAGTACATAAAGGTGGCTGGTTTGTGATGCTAAATCCTCGGAGAGAATCCTGTTAGAAACCACCACTCTCCATAATGGTATGATATTGTCCACTTTGAGCATAAGCTCTTATGACTTTTCTTTTAGTTTTTCCGAAAGGCCTCGTACCAATGAAGATAGTGTTGCTTACTTATAAACCCATGATCTTCCTCTTAATTAGCCAATGTGGGACTACTCTTTCAAGAATCCTCAACAAATCCTTGTTTGGTAGAAGGGGCATGAGTCAATATTTTATCCAGTGAAATTTATTCTCACTTGCTCGTGATGCTCTTACTGAATTTTACTTGACTACTTATCTGATATCTTATTCACAGGAGGGTGGATATTCTCATGATATTCCAACTACCTTGCATAGAAGTAAAGCCGACTGTCCAGTGCCAGAGGTTCATTTCTTCTTGATCTCTTGGTGAAATCCTTCTTTCCTCACATCATTTCCTCTGAAGTTTTGTACAATGCACCTAATTTTCATCATTGATTTACTGATGCAGGAAATGGTGACCGTCAATGTTGATGGTTCTGTACTAGATCGAATTGCTAAGATTATGTCGTATCTTCGTCTTGGATCCTCAGGGAAGGTTTTAAAGAAGAAAAAGAAGGATAAAGATGTAAAAGGTAATCCCTTTTCATTAATTAAATATCATAGGAAGCATGATTATTGTTCTTCAGTTTCTCTCATACGAATGTAGGTTTGTAATGAACCGGATTATGTGTGAGTAAAATATTTTATGTCGTACTTAGAGCATATACGTGCACATGGGCATAAAAAGTGCAAGCATTTAATGAATTTAGGCAAGCTAGTGGGATTTTGTTCATATCCCACCCCTGTTTTTACCTTTTAATTTACCGTTCTTTTTGTATTTTCTTTGCAGGGAAGATTTCAGCTATTGTTAATGAATATGTTGGAAACAACAAGCCATCAACACTTGATGCTGGTGTGCCAAAGAAGCAAACGGAAAGAGAGATGTTGCCCCCTCCACCTCCTCTCAAGAAAAATCAAATAGTTTTAAAGGAGAAGCAAGGACCAGTTGTCGCAAGAGTAGACGGAGATGATATTTTTGTCGGTGACGGCGTTGATTACACTGTTCCTGGTAAGGACCTGAGCCAGAGTCCTCTTTCAGAAGACATGGAAGAATCTCCTCGAAATAAGGAGAAACCTAGTTATTTCTCTGAACCTGCTTATGGTCCTGTCCCACCCTCTGGACCACCTCAGGAATGGCAAGAAGCAGTAAGTTGATCTTGTTTACTCGAAGATTCGTAACATCCTTTCAAATTGCAAGCTAATACAGAGTCATTGGATTCTTTGCTTGTTCCAGTTTTTAACCTTCTGTGTTCTTATCTGAGTTCAATGATGTTGCAGAATGGTTATGGGGTGATGCAACCTCAAGCGTTTCCTGCTGGCTACCAAGGAGAGTGGCAGGATTACCAGTATTCTGATCAACTGGCTTATTCTGAACAGTACCTTCAGCTCAACATGCAGGCGTATGATATGCAAACAGGAGTGCAACACGATCCCCACCTCATGACTCAAGAAGAGAAAGATAGGGGTTTAGGGTCGGTATTCAAGAGAGACGATCAGAGACTACAGCAACTGAGAGAGAGAGATGCACGAGAGAAGGATCCCAACTTCATATCAGAGAGTTATTCTGAATGTTATCCTGGATATCAAGAGTATAACCGTGAAATTGTGGACAGTGACAATGAAGATGACTTATCCAAAATGGACATGGGAGGCCGGGTAATTTCTTATCACTGCTTTAGGAATTGAGAGTACTTAAAGATCTTTATTTGAAAATATGCGGTTCTTTATAGGAGTCTGAATTAATTAATCCATTCTGATTTCGTCTTTGATGAAAACCCAATCGTATCGGTTTAGTGTACTGGGTTTGAATATTGACTTCGATATTCATATTTGTAGGCGAAGGGCCGCCTTCACCGATGGGACTTTGAGACAGAGGAGGAGTGGGCAAAGTACAATGAGCAGAAGGAAGCAATGCCAAAAGCTGCGTTCCAGTTCGGTGTGAAGATGCAAGATGGTCGTAAGACACGAAAGCAAAACAAGGACCAGAAACTCAACAATGAACTGCACAAGATCAACAAGATACTTGCAAAAAAGAAATTGGAGAAGGACATGGATGGGGATGATAATGATGATATACAACCGGGAAAGAAGATTAGAATTTGAGTTGATTGGCAATGGGAATGGGATGATCCTTAAAAGAATAGCTGGAAGGTATATAATTTTGAAAAAGGAAAATAAAGATGACACCACAAACTTGGTCTCAGTTTCTTTTAACCTTATTTAATCTCATTCTACAATTGTATCTTAAGGAGAGTGGATTCACCTAAAAAGTCATAAATTCAAATCTCTACTTTGTTTAATATTTTAACCCAAAAAAATCAAATAAAGAAACTCCCACCTAGAAGAAAAAGTAGGCACAGCAAATATAAATATAACCAAGCAAATATAAAAAACAATAATTGTTCATTCTTAAACAAATACCACCAAACCAACCACTAGATTACTTAATGTAATAGGTAATCATTACATAGGCACGATTTGAAGTGTGTTTTTGTTTCTTTTATTTATCTCAAGTAACTCGAGACAAAACCCAGATCAAATACTCCGCATCTGGAAGGGATAAGGAAAATGACAAAAACAAAGGCAAAGTCAATACTTTCTTACTCGAGAGAGTCCACATCCGTGTTTGCACGCGTGGATTTTTGGATTTCCAACCAGATCTTTTGCATAAACAGGCAGCAGCCAGGGTTATTTTCAAAAGAAAAGTTGCCACCACCAACCCCAGAATGGCAACAAATGCAGCAGCAGCCTGTTGTATAAGAAAATCAGATTGATAAAAGGTGGTACTGTAAATTTTAATAACCGACCACAAATCTAGTCTGGGAATCCCAGAAATCTTTGGTTTGCTTCAGCACCCTCGCTCGTTCTTCCGTCAGCCTCTCCTTCCAGTACCCTTTACACCTGAACAGAGTTGTTAAAACAATAAGTTGTATTTTCATCATGCCAACTCAACTAAAATTTACTACGTAGACATGCTTTTGTTGATACTATTATTAAATAAAAGCATAATGGTGACGGAAAGGAAAGAGGTTCCGAGTTTCTAAACCTTCTTTTCAAAAGCATATCCAGTTCCGTCATGTGCAATGCTTTAGGATATACCCCAGTCTGCATTAGAAACAAATAACAGTCATAATAGCTCGATTCTTTTGCCAATAGAACCTCTAAATTTTCATGGAGTAAAATATCTCACCAACATAAATGTTGTGTTGAGCGAGAGTAGAACATTCAAAAGGGATGAACTTTCTTAAACCATATCTAAGTCGTAGATAGAAGAAAAGGGAACTTAGATGAAATTCTGGATAACAGGTGACAGAAGATATTCTAAGCAAACAGGACAGAAGAAATTGTTATTTCTTGGTTTTAATTATTTTTTCATGACCTTCCTTCATGTACCTCTCTTTTCCTTTTGAATATGCAAGTGTTTCTCCATTTGGGGGAAAAACAGCTAAGGGATGTTGACTAATGGGCATGTAAATAGCAAGACTTTAAAAGCAAACTAGCATCAGAGAACATGTTTAAGCTAGGAAGAATTCAAGAACATGGTTGTATGAAGTAAAAAAAAAAAAAAAACATTGGAGATATTTCCACTTATCAAGTACTACATCAATTGTGGTTCATGACATTTAATTTTCTCCTGAATTTGTCTTTTTCTCAAACTTTTCAAATCTTAGCTGGTCATGAAGAATAATCTAATTGCTTCAAATACCAAACACAAACCTCTCTACAAACAGGGCATTTAGACTCCGGGCTGGCAGCCTTTGGTCCATCACAGATCATCGCGGAAGCAGCTAAACAAACACATGATTTGCAGAAGAGATGGCCACAACCCAAAGCATATGGATCAAATAGTGTATCCTGTAACATGATCCAACTTCAGAGGCTTATCAAATGAACTCCAAATACTGCCATCCCTCTGGATTACAGCCAAGACCAGAAAACTTACCAAGCATATAGGGCAAGTAAGATCATATTCCAATTTCATAGAATCTGGAAGCATCAATGTCATTTTTGGTGTGTCATCGACATCAACATCGACATCAAAAGAAAAGTGAGTGGAGAATTCTGAGGGAGAATTTCCATCACCGGGTCTTTTAAAATTCAAACAAAAAGCACCCAATTCTATAAGCCAAGGTGATTGCAAAAGCTCAATATGTTCAGCTCGCATTTTCAACTTAAAGTTCTTTCCGTTTACAGAGCTATGTACCTGTAGTCGATTATTTAAACACATAAAAATTATGTTCTTAAATTGTAAAAAACAAATTCCAATGTCAAATTCACAAATCTTCAAAATATTTATTTAGGCTGAAACTCACTTTATCGTATTTCTTAAGAATCTTTCTGATAGCAATAGCATTCATCGTAACATATTCAATCAGCATGCGGCCTTCTTGTATCATCGTCGTTTGATCAGTTTTAAAGCAATGAACCAATCGCGCCATGTATCTCTCAATTCCCCCAGCAACATGAAGATGAAGAAGATGTCTAACTCTCGTGCTGAAACACCCCGCAATATCCAAGGCTTCCCTCATCAACTCCGAAAAGAACAGCTGATCACACACTGCAAAGCCGAAAAATTCAATTAATTTCAAAGTCCAACAACTGATTAGAGAGAACCAGCTAAGAAGTCAGAAGAAAACGACGTATTGACGTTCTTACGAGGGCAAGACTTGCATTCACATTCATTGGTGCAAGAATCATTAAGTCTGCAAGTCCGACAACTCTTAAGAACCTTCTTCAGCCGCTTATACTCAACATGCGAACATTTGTCCAGGAACCACTCTCGATCTCCGTGCAAATATTCCATGAACGTCTCTCCGAATTTCATCTTTCACCTAATAGATAAAACTAAAAAAAATAAAAAAAAAACCCTAAAACACCTGAAAATTTTAGGGGAGATTCTGAGACCCATGGATTTGGGGGGAAAACAATAGGAATCAGCGACAAAAACAGAAATCGGGCAAAACAGAACTCACCTCAAACTAGAAGGAGACCAACCAAATCGAAACTATATAAGGAAGAAAAAGGCGTATTTTCGGGTCTTGTTTTATTCGGTTTCTTGAAATTTCTCTTCAGCCAAACGGAGAATGGGAAAGTTAAGAAGAGAAATCCGAGAAAATCGAAAGAGGAAACGAAAATCTTAGAGGGAAGGAGGGATGAGCAATGGAATTCGTTCGCCACAGAAAAGGAGAATTCGTTTCAAAGTAGAACGATGCCGCGCACTTTCAGCGGGTGCCGTGGTTGAAATTGGCGGCTGGTTACATGCAGAGTGCGGATTCCAAGTGTTCTATTGCTATTTCCCACTACGGTTTTTACTGGTAGGTGGTTGAATGAAAAAGAAAAATCCAATTAATCCCTTTTTTCCATTTCATAAAATAATATTTTTTATGTTAAATTACAAATTTATCCTCAAAATTTTTCCAAATACAAGTTTGGTAAGATTTCAATTTTTTTTAAACAGTGCTCCGTTTTAAAATAAAAACAAAATATTTAGTTTTTTATTTTTGATTTTTGATTCTTGATTTTAAACTTAAAAAAGATATTGATTTTGTTTATAAAAAAAAAAATGTAATTAAATTGAACAGAACACACAGACACGTGTCTTGTAAAGAAAAAAACTGACGTGTCACGTGACTCCCCATCCCACATGTAGCCACGTGGACTTTCCTTCCTAACATTCTCTCTGTTTTTTTTTTTTTTTTTAAATTCTTTTATTTGGTTCATCATGCAAAATCAAATGGTAAGTAAATATATTTTTTTTAATAAAATTTCAAAATATAGATATTTGATATCTTTATCTCTTTTTACCAAAATATGAATTTGGTAATTAAAACGTGGAATTTGCAAGATAACAAAGAACAATTTTTATTCCAAAAACTTCCAAAGAGGAGAGTTGGAAGAAGCGACGAAGGTTCATTGGCCAGTTGCCACGTGGGCAGAAATAGTCAAATCAAAGTCAAAATTAAACACGTGGATGATTATGATTGGAGAGTGGAAGTACGGGTAAAACTTGACAGCCAAGTTTTTCCCACAGGCATCGCATCAGATGCTTCCATAGCCATACCAAGAAGTTTGTTCAGTAAGGTTTTTATATAATTAATTATGGAATTTCGTATTTGTCCAGTAAGGTTTGTTCCAACATGGATTTGTTCCGCAACGCAAAGGTGGTGCTGCTCCGAAGCCATACCAAGAAGTATTTGTTTGCCGATGAGGATGAGGAGTCCGTTACTCAGAGTCGAAATGGATGGACGAAGAATGCGAGATGGAGCGTTGAGTTTGTTAGGTTCTTTGATTCAAGAATCCGGCTCAAGAGCTGCTACGGCAAGTACTTGACGGCGTCGAACCAGCGATTGTTCCTCGGAATGACCGGCATGAAGGTTCTGCAGACTCGTCCAGAGCGGTTGGACTCGTCGCATGAGTGGGAGCCGATCAAGGAACGCTCACTTCTGAGACTCAAAACGCAGTACAGTAGTTTCTTGAGAGGCAACAGCGGTGTTCCGCCGTGGCGGAACTCGGTCACTCACGATGCGCCACATCGTACCGCTACACAGGAATGGATTCTATGGAATGTTGAAGAATCTTTGAACCCTTTCAAACCCTTTGATTTGAAAGGGAAATGGTTCAAACAGAATGTATAGTTTGAACAATGCCACACTTGTAGGTTATCTAATATACTTATCTCTAAATGTTAAATTTTTTTGTCTATTAGTTCGTTCATAAGAAACAAGAATACCCAATCAAAATTGAAAATTCAACTGTCTAATTTTTTAAGTCTAATACACTCGCCTCTAAGCCAAATGTCATCCACACAGAAAATTAGTTGGAAAGGTTTTCATTAGTACCCAATGAAATGGGGTATATGAACATGTTATACACTACACTGCAGTGCTGAGGAGGATGTACACAAGGATTATAAAGTTTCACAAACTCATCTCATCATCATCTAAGGGAAATCAGCAAGCACACCACCAAAAGAGGGTAAAAATAATGAATTGAGACAAAAACACTGCCAACAACTATAAAACTCAATATACATCCCCTCATCAGATGGATAAAAAAAGAAGAGAAAAGAAGGAACTTGTTATGTACCTGCTGCTAAATTACACTACACCTTCATCATAACCCACCAACCAACCTTTTATAAAGCTCAAGCTTTAAGGAGTGCATTAGAAAAACACATGGCAGAGCCTCAGATGGAAGAATCGAACAGCAAAACGCCTGAGGAAAAACTAACCTCTCTCCCTCCCTCACCCCATTTTAATCGAAAAGGAAAAGGGAAAACAAAAACTATATATCACTGAATTCCTATTAACTACAAACTCAATAGTAGCTTTGTTGTTTCTTCATACGCACCTCTCATCGCATATTCTATGTTTCTTCCACAATTGACTTAGTGGGACTTCATATGGCTCAAGTATTGGTAGACGGTCGCTATGTTCAGTTATATATTTTCACAGGTTTCTCGTATGTGGCACGGTTCTGCAAAACATTTATGAGAATTCGGTCGTTACAATATGAAACGTCACTGTATAAGATTGATTATACCTAAATCTAACTTATAAAAAACCTGTCTACAGTACATCATAACCATAAAGATGGTTTAAGACCCTCACATGATTGACAGCATAAGACCTCTTGGGAGTGGTGTCTGAATGCTCCAACCCAAGGTACTGTTCCCAAGCACCATAAATGTCTCTCCTCTGCATAGTATATTTGTACAGATTCAAAACAATCAGTTCATTCTTTAAAGGGTAACACCCAATCAAACAATTGAGAACCTTATAGTTCTACAGTTAAAGCAGGAAATACCTGAAACCGATTGGAGACAACGTCGGAATCCTGCAGATATTCTGGCCGCCCCAGGGAGAAAAATGCAAACTTCCACTGGGGAAATGAAGTTGGAAAAGAAAATATTATTATGCACCAAAATAAATTGCAATGGAAAAAAAAAAAAAGGAATGCACAGCAGAAAGCAGGTTCAAGAGCTTACATTGGAGAACTCCTCATCTGGAACTTGAAGTTTCTTCTGTATGCGAACTTTCACATCAGCCAAAGTCTCACCTTCATGAATGACCAAGAAAAAAGGTTCTCCAAAATTCTGAACTTGCTGTTGGATAAACAACGCATTTTAAAAGGTGTGATATAAGAAAGCTTTAAGAAGCCGGAATAATCAAATTGCTGGAAGCTATTTCAGAAAACTCAAGAGGAATATCAATTTCATACCATTTGGTTTTGTGCCGTCTCTTTGCTGAAATGGTACACATGAATCAAACGATCCTGAGGACCAAGGTTTTTCTCCTCTTCAGGGATCTGATATTCACATCAGAAACAATAGAAGCTTAGCAACAAGTTTAACACTAATAACAACCGATTTCATACTCTCATGGTTAAAGCAAATCACCAAAAACCCTCAACAAAGGGTATGATGATGTGTCTGACCTCAAACAATATGGACAAAAAGAAAACAATAATTAGAAATAATTGTCATGGAGAAAACACTGACCTCCTCCACACGCAGTGTCCAGTATTGGTCATTTATATTCTCAATTCTTTCATTATGTGGAAAGATCTGTGAAAATGAATCATAGTTACAATTAAAAGCATAGAAAAAATAATATAACCAAGGCCTTAAATATATATATTGTAAAAGAAACAATCTCGTATGAAATGACAAAACAAGGGGGAGACCCCCCCACTCACAATAGGAATTACATGAGACCTTTCCAATTGGAAAGGAAAGTGAAAGCTAGAACATTTACACCAAGTCACAACTGTAATGGCTATAGCATCAAAAGAATCTATGAAAAGAGAGGTCTTTGTCTTGAAATATTTTTCTGTTTTTTTCTTGCAGCAAATTCCAGAAGAAGGCTCATATAAAATTCTGCCAAATCATATTTTTCTCCGTTTTGAAGGGATGCTCTCCAGGGGTGTAAGACAGGAGAAGATTGGGATCTTCTGGAAGGACCAGGTGCCAGTTGAAGAAAGGATAAAGTTCCCAAAGGCCTCATTTACAAGAGACCATGAGATGACTTTGAAATTAAGAATGCTGCATAGAGCACTACTGTGGAGGCCAAGCCATGAAAGGCAGTCTTCTTTGTAACTTTGAGATTAAGAAGGCTGCATAGAAAGGATAAAGCTATGAAAGGTCCTCATTTACAGAATATTCTATCATGAATAAGAGAGCAATGTTTCATAATGGATTTCCAAGGACCCTTGGTTGTTCTAAGGGAATTTCTGCCTTGTTTGTTGTTGAGAGGGGTGGTCCCATATTTCAGATCAATAACCTTCCTCCAGAAAGCCGTTGTTTCATTTTGATGGGTTTTAATGGGGCAGAGCTAGCTTGGTGGGGTAAGTATCAACATCAACTACAGACTAATTACAAGAAAATAGCAAAAAAATACTTTATTAAAAGCTCCCTAACAAGTAGATGAAGATCTCATAAGAACTGAATCCAAGAGAAACTATTAAATCCAAAATCAAGCATATCATTACCTTATAGATCTTATGATAGAAAACTTCTAGTAATCTAAGTTCCGCATCTGGATGAGATAACTCAACCTGTAAGGTGTAATAAAATAAAATCACTAACGAAAGTGAAGGATTGTAAATGAATCGAGGAATACTAACAGAAGACAACGAGATGGTGTTTTCTGCCTATCAAAACTTTGATCTTCCTGCTTCTATAAGTAATAATTGAAAGAAGACAGTTCATACCTTTGTTTTAAGTAAATTAATAACATCGCCAACGGTACTCTGTTTAGGTAATCTAATATTGTGAATAACCACCTGAACAATATAAACAAAATGTTTCAAAGCCTGACGACAACCTGAAAAAGAAAATTTGTGCCACAAGCAATTCGTACCTCATCTTTTGTGGAATGATGAAAAGCAACCTTCAGATTTTTCAGACCTTGCAATTCTGGAAGGGGAATGTCCAGGACTTCATAATACAATATATCAGACATCTGTCAACATGTAACCCAGAGTTCAGCCCCAAATCATGCAAATGGGCAAACAAGAAAACAGAATTAAAATCCAGAAAAAAAAAAATACCTGGTTATAATGTACTAACATATCTGACAAATGATCTACACCCCGATATTTGATAGGCTGTGGCTTAGGTTGCTGAGAATAGCAATTATGTGCAGTCAATCTGATTTTGGATGGATCGTCCAGTCCAATTCGTTCTGCCAACTTTTCTACAACTTCATCATAAGTTTGAACTTTCGACCTATAGAAAGAGAAGTTATGCACATTGAACTGAGCCAACTTTGAATGATCTCAATTGAAACAAGAAAAATTCAGGTGGAATTACTTACAGTTCTATACAAAAGTCATCCTCCTTGGGTTTTTCTAGAGTTCGAAAATGAACAACCTAGAATGCAAAAAACCACATACAAGCATCAACCAATGCATATCACCATCATTTTACAAATCGATCTCAAGCAAGTACCATTACACAACTGATAATCAAAGGCTCTATGCGTTCTCAAAGACGTAAAACAGTTATTTGCAAACTACTTTATAAGTGGCTTTGTGATACGATGTCTAAGTTCGTGTCTTCTCCATGAATACTTGTTGATTTCTTTCTTTCCACAGTTTCCAAAAGAAAGTCATACGAGATTTTTCTGTAGCAGGGCTTTTGCCTGCTTAAAGGAGTGGTACGTTAAGGACATGTCCAATAAATCCTTTACCTTCCTAGGGCAAGTGAGATATCCAAAAATTCTAAGCGTATGTGCATGCATAAATAAGTGCCTTTGTGATTCGTTGTCTTTCTTGTATAATGGGCACCAACTTGGAAATAGAGTTATGTAGTACATTCTTTTTTGTAGATTTTTACTCGAGCTAATGGCTTTATGTGCTATTTCCCAAAGGAAAACGTTCATTGAAGAGGGAATGTCAATTGGATGAGTTAATAACTCCAATAGACAAAGTAGAATCTATTTGGCCAACTGAAAAGCCATCTAAAAAACTTCCTACTCCAATAGACAAAGTAGAATTTATGAGGTTTATAAATGAGAAATTTTAAAGAGAATCAAAAGTTCTCTCCTTCAAGCGCCTTTTAACATAGTATTGATAAAAAGTTCTCCCCTTCAAGCGCCTTTTAACACATAGTATCGATAGAAAGTTCTCTCCTTCAAGCGCCTCTTAACATAGTATTGATAAAAAGTTCTCCCCTTCAAGCGCCTTTTAACACATAGTATCGATAGAAAGTTCTCTCCTTCAAGCGCCTTTTAACATAGTATCGATAGAAAGTTCTCTCCTTCAAGCGCCTTTTAACATAGTATCGATAGAAAGGTTTTCTCCTTCAAGCGCCTTTAACATAGTATCGATAAAAAGTTTTCTCCTTCGCGCCTTTAACATAGTATCGATAAAAAGTTCTAACCACACTGAAACCCTAATTACGATTGAGTTTCATGATTGTAATTGAACCGCCCTAGTCATAATCTCATAGTTTCATTTCTTATCCCCAAAAGGAAAAAACTAATTTGTGGATCCAATATGTTCAATGTTGACAATAATGAAAAATTTTAATTTGCGCCCATTATGTGCCAAAACGTTAAGAGCATATCAGCATCCCATTTTATCCTACATGACAAGTAACCTAAATTGAGGGTTGATTGTTCATAACAAAATGAAAAACCCTAGTGCAATAGATTATGGATACCGATGTCATCCAATCAGGATTTGTACCTGACGATTAT